CTCCTCCTCCTCCTCCTCCGTCTCTGTCTCTCCTCGTTCCCTCGACCTCTGGCCGGCGACGAGCTCATCTCGACGAGCGCGACGCCTCTCCCGTCGCGGAGCCAATCTGCCGTGCGCGCTCCAATTTGACGTCAATTAAATCGCGTATCAATTTTCGGCCGAGACTAATGACAAAACGTCGCCGACCACCATCGCGGCCTCCGGCGGGCCCGCGCGCGAGCCTCACCGCCGGGTTTTCGATTAATCCCCTCCTCTCCTCTGCGCTCTCTCTCTCTCTCTCTCTCTCTCTCTCTCTCTCTCTCTCTCTTGTTCTTTCTTTCCTTTCGAACCCATCGTTCGCAGCTTCGGGAGCGCGCATTAAGGGGGCCCTGTGAAAAAGCGACTTTTTTGCCGCCGCTGCAAATTTCTCGGCTCGGCCGTTGAGAAATGACCGCGCGGATGTCGGGCTTCCTCCATCTTCGTTCTTCCTTCGTTCGGCCGTTCGATTACGGAGCCGATTCTCGATTACGGTGCTCCAATGATAAGACGAATAACTGGAATTGTTCGAGGCCGCCGAGAGAGTCTCGAAGGTTCTGGAAAAAAAGGAAATGTGGAAACGTCACGGACACGCAGAGAGAGAGAGAGAGAGAGAGAGAGTGTGTGTGTGTGTGTGTGTGTGCCGCTCGTATCTTCCTGTATCGTCCGAGAGCGTATCACTATTTCTTTGACTTATCGTGAATTTATTTAGTTGCCGCCTCGTGACCGCGCAGCACCGGACCGGCGCATTTTTTCCCTAGGACGAACCGCCGCCGCAGCGCGTGAGATGTTTATACTTGTCGATTAGACTTTATCGCGCAAGATACGTTCGGCCGCTGGCGTCGATTACCTCTATTAAGCTTGCACGATCGTGAGCCCGGAGGGTGAGTGCCGTGCGGTGATCGCGTCGACATACAAACGCGCTGCGCGTCGAGCCTAGGCCCGATCTTAGACGCTGAGGTCTTAATTGGCGCAGGAATCTCTCTGCGCGGCTTATCGGATGACTAATTAATTAAGCCGGCTGGACGATAATTAATTGTGGGGCAAAAATCCGCCGTGATTCGTAACCGCCAAGCGCTCGCGCACTCTCGTCTCGGCTCGTTGTACCGTGATTATGCGAAACCTTTTAACCCTCCAAGGGTCACGCCTCCGGCTAGAACGTGAGCGCGCGCGTTGGCGCACCGCGTGCGCCGCGCCGTCAATTGCGCCTTCTCTCGCGCGTCGCGCGTCAATCTCGGGAACCAGATGTGACCCCCACGTGTGTGCTTTAAGACACAGATGTCTCGCTCAACGAGACGTTGCTCAAAATATCACAGACAAAAAAGGAACAAAACGACGCACAGAGCGTGTAGTCTTCAGTATCAATAATTGGCATTTTTCGCGCGTTTCACTCTCGCGTCCGCGCCGTTCGCCGTGCGCGACATGTTTAACGACATACCAGGTCTGTAAATATGAAACCGGAATTTACCCATAGATGGCCCTAGCTGTCAATGTAGTTACCGTTAAACCGCGTCATTGGCGTCATTTCCATTTGTTGACATCTGACAAAGATTTTCAACTCACAACAATACAAGTTTCATACAACAGCGTAGTTTGTAATAGCGTTGAACATGTCGAATTTTGTGCCTGGGAGCTACGATTTGCGGACAGCATTGATTTTCTATTACCATTTGAAGGAAACTGCTGCAGAATCGCATCGAATGCTTGTCGAAGCTTACGGTGAGCATGCTCTTGGTAAATCACAGTGCTTTGAGTGGTTTAAAAAATTCAAACGTGGCGATTTTGACGTGAGAAACGAAGAACGTGGAAGACCATCGAAAAAGTTTGAAGACAGCGAATTGCAAGCATTGTTGGATGAGGATGACGCTCAAACGCAACAACAACTCGCGGATCAATTTGATGTGACACGAGAAGCCGTCTCCATACGTTTGAAAGCCATGGGAAAGATCCAGAAGATGGGAAAATGGGTTCCACATGAACTGAATGAAAGTAGGAAAGTAGGAAAACCGAAAAACCACTTGCGAAATGCTGCTCGCCAGGTACAAAAGAAAGTCATTTCTCCATCGAATTGTGTGACTGGCGATGAAAAGTGGATATATTTTGAGAGAAGCCTAAGCGTAAAAGATCATGGATAACTCCAGGCGAACCATCGACATCGACTGCAAGGCCAAATCGCTATGGACGGAAGACAATGCTCTGTGTTTGGTGGGATCAGAAGGGTGTGATCTATTATGAGCTGCTAAAACCTGGCGAAACCGTTAATACTGAACGCTACCGACAACAAATGATCGATTTGAATCAAGCTTTGCGGGAAAAACGACCAGAATATCAAAAAAGGCAACACAAAGTGATTTTGCTTCATGATAATGCACCATCACACACAGCAAAACTGGTGAAGGAAACGATTGAGGCGTTTAGTTGGGAAATACTTTCGCATGCGGCTTACTCACTAGACTTGGCTCCGTCCGATTACTATTTATTTACATCGATGGGACACGCACTTGCTGAGCAGCGCTTCGCTTCTTACGAAAATGTACGAAAATGGCTCGATGACTGGTTTGCCTCTAAAGAGCAACAGTTTTTTTGGCGTGGCATCCACAAATTGTCAGACAGGTGGGAAAAATATGTAGCTAGCGATGGGCAATACTTGGAATAAAATATTTTTCATCATTTTCATACAATAAACGTGTATTTTCTGTACAAAAATTCCGGTTTCATATTTACATACCTGGTAAAAACACGTCGTGTGCGCGCGCGCGCGCGCAGTAAGTTGCGGACAACTTCGTCAAACTGTGAAGTCGAAAACGAAAGCCGGATGTGAGACATGCGCGCGCGCGCGCGCGCATTCGCTCGCACGCTCCATTTAGAGTCACCGGCGGAAATCGCGTGTTGCGTTGAAAACAGAAAAACCGGCAGAGAAGTCTCTCTCGGCTCGGCGTTTTTGCCGCGGACACGTCTCTCTCGATCGGCGCACAGACATCGCGGCGATCAAAGTCGGGCGCGCACCGCTTGCGGTAAAAATGCGGAATTCCACTTTCCATCGCGGAGCGCATTACGCCGAGGCAAGGCGTATCCCGGTCGTGTACGCAGCGCAGCGCCCGTGCCTGCATTGTGCGTTCTTGCGAGCGATCGTGTTTTCCATAACGCAAGTGGAACGAATCTAACATTCTCGCCGGGCCATTGAGCGCGGCTCGTCGCCGTCATCGTCATCGTCGTCGTCGTCGCCGTGACCGCGCGAGAACGATAATCTACGTGCGATCGAGCGGCCTCTCGAAAATCGAATGTATCGGAAATCATTCGCGGTCGGTCGCGCGGAATAATGGATTAGGCGAGGGAGACTCGGCGGGTGCTACGAGTGCCCGGCTCCGGGCTCTCCTCGGCCAGGGAGAAAGAAAGGAGAGAGAGAGAGAGAGAGAGAGAGAGAGAGAGAGAGAAGAGGGCCCTCGGCCGGCCAAGTATCATCATGCGGGGGACTGAAAAACGCAGATCATCCCCCTTCGCATTTTGAAACGCGCCCCGGGGCGCCGTGCCGCCCGCAGGTCTTCCCGTTCGGGGTGCCGCGCCCAACGTGAGTAAACACGCGAAAATTAAACTACAAAGTCGACCATCCCCGCTCGTGTAACCTAATATCCGCTGCTGCCGCTCGTGTAATCCGCAACTGTGATTAAACGGTGAATATTTCATCAGCCGAGTATCAGGCTGAAAATACGAGGATGTCCCTTGTACCATTATTTCTGTCGCGAAGCTGATATCTTGTGTTTCTTTTGCCTCTAGCGCGCAGGATATATCACGTTTACTATCACGCTGCTTTGATTATTTTAATTAAAAAGTTGACGTTATCGAATACGCATCAGACTGCAAATGCATCACGCAGCTGTTCGTCGACTTTTCATTGGTCGTACAGGTAGTTTTGCGTAGGCAACTGGTTTACACGAATGAATTACCGATATGCAAACTAGTGAGACACCTGGCGAATTACAGCGCCAGTAACCTTCGTGGAAAAGTCAGCGTGTTAATATAAATGTAAAATCAAGCGAAACTTCAAAGCCCGACCGTATATCGTGAGCGTTCGCACATTTCGTCTTCCACGGACGGACGGTCGAGCAGGAATGTCCGAAAGCTTTCATTGCGCCCGACAAATATCCGGAATATGGGTCTCTTCGAAAATATAGCAATTCGTAGAAAAGCCCGTAAACCGTCCCTGAATGGAACAACGGTGCCTAAATATCCGAATCAACACGCCTTATTCGCCTTATTTCGTGAACACGTTCGCTCGGGTTTCGTTTACGACTCGGGTTCAGGACGACGATGCGAACATGTAAATCCGACGGACGTGACCGGGGCCTGCTGCATATTTGGCAAGGACCCCGGTGGTCCCGGCGTCGCGTCGCCGGCGAGATCGACAGCGCATACCCGGCACCTTCCGAGACTCGCCCCGGCCAGGCGGAACGCCCGGATGTTTAACAACGAATATTACACGAGCACGGCAAATATCGCTGTATTATCGCGGAAATATCTTTCCGGAGCAGCGAGACTCCGCGAGCGCGCGCGATCACGTTGACCGCGATCCCGCTTTCCTTCCTTTCTTCTGCCACGGGCGTCGTTCCCGCCGGGGCGCAGCAACACGTTTCTGCGGCGCGATCGAGCACCGAGCTGAGGAATAAGCGCGCGCGCGCGCGCGCGCGAGAGAGAGCAAGAGAGGAGAGGCCGCTGCCAGACGAAGCGTCGGCGAAGAGAAAGAGAAAGCGCGCAGGACGACGACGACGACCACGACCACGACCACGACCACGACTACGACTACGACGACGACGACGACGACGAAGACAACGCGACGGTAGTGGAACGAGCGAGCGGCGAACGCGACCCGCGCGAGGTGCAGCAAGGGGCGCGAGGGACCGAGACGGTGGGGTCAGCCCTGCGACTGGCGCGACGGTGGCGCCCTCTGGACGGCGCGCCACCGCAGATAAGATTAGTCAGCCGCCAGCCGTCCGAGAGAGACGCACGCTTCGTGCGCGCGTCCCGTCAGTCCCTTCGTTCAGTGCGCGCGCGCGCGCGCGCGCGAGAGACCACGCGAAAACAGGTGGTCGCGTTCAGTCGACGATCATAAGTGCGAGAGAGCCGGTGGACGGTCGCTGAGATCGACCTGGATCTCTTACCGCGTCGTGTTTCGCGTTCTGCTCGCCTACGAGGCGTCGTTGCCGCAGCTTCGTGCGCTTCGCCGAGGCATTCGAGAGGTGACCCCGCGGGGAACTTTGACCGAGGATATTTAACTGCCAGCGCGGAGGAAGCAGACGGTTCTGCTGGGGTTTTCAGTGTGACTGTACAGAGAGTAATAAAGAGCGCGCAGCGGCTTAAAGTGAGAGCTCACATTCCCGAGCGCGACGCGACGAGTTCGAGTTCGAGTTCGGATACGCGCCAGTTTCAGGCCGCTCTCCGGCAAAAGTGCTCTCCGCACAGACGCGCGTGAATCCGCGCGATTATCGTCTTCCTGGACACGTACACAGCGTCTCGTGAGAAGACGTCGTCGTCGCGTACGCTCGCGTACGACGGGATACACGCTGCGAGAAGTTAAAGAGGCGTCGTGTTTTGCGACGAATACAACGCAGCCGAGCCGGAAAAGCATCGCTCGCCTGCCGGACACGCCGCCGCCGCGACGCCATATTGGGAAGCGGTCGCTCCGAAATCGCGGGGAGTCTCCGGCCTTTCGGCATCTCCGGCTTCGGAAGAAGAGAGAGAGAGAGAGAGAGAGAGAGGGACAGCAAGCGGTCCTTTCGGAGACAAGCTCTGCGCCGCCGGCAGATTTGGACACACCGGATGTAAGAACGAGATGAGATAGCAGGAACGATGAGAAGGAGAACGCTCGACGACCTGCTCGCGTCTTGCCGCGAACGAAGGGAAAGCCGCCGCGCCCCGGCATCGCCGCGGTGATATCGCCGGTGATATCGCGACGTCAGGACGACGTGTGTACGTCGCAGGACAGAGCGTACAGATTGCGAGGACGCAGCAGGACGTCGCGTGAGTGCCGAGTCGAGTTGTTTATCTTTTCTTCGCCTCTTTCGTGTTTTGACGCCCGAGCGGTCGCGCGACGCGCGACCGATTCGTCCGGACAAACACGACTTGCAGTGAATATTACAGTGAGAGAGAGAGAGAGAGAGAGAGAGAGAGAGAGAGAGAGAGAGAGAGAGAGAGAGAGAGAAAGAGAGAGAGTTTGTGACTGTTGCTGCGACCACGATTTCGTGATTCTGCGTCGTCGCGATCGTTCGCTGTGGTGGTTCGCTCATTTTTGACCGTTTGTCGCTGTCTCTGTCGTTGGATTTGCGACGTGAGTGACGTAAGGCGACGTGCGACCTGAAGACAGTGTTGGTTGGCTCTCAGTGAACTGTGTGAACGCTTTGATCGCGCGCGAGTTTGCTCGTCCGAGTCGTCTTGTGAGGATATATCAGTGTGCAAGGTGCTTTACCGTGGATGTGTTCGATCTGTTGGCCGCGCGGCACGAGGTAGCGTCGGGTGGGTTTGGTTCGCTCGCGTTTTCTCGGGGGATGGAGTGAGCATTCGCGAAATAGGCTCCTCGTCGAAATATGAGGATTACGTTCCACCGTTGCTGCGACCGTCCACCGATCACCAGTGAAAATGAATCTCACGCGTGTGTTTCTGCTGCTGCTGCTGCTCGCCGTGGGCTCAAGGTGCGTTCGAGCGAAAGGGAGAATATTCCGCAGCGCTGCGCGGAGGCCCCCCCCCTCCCTCCGAGCTTTATACCTTGCTATCGACGAAACGTTAACTCGGTGACGTCATTGTTGACATCTGCGTCGTAGTAACCCACGTCGCAGCGCGGGTTTTCTAAAAATTTGCGAGACATAACAATGTCGGCGCCACAATCGTGGCGAGCGCCTTCTCGACGAAATTATTATTGGCTTGACAAGCAGCAAGTATTGGGTATTAAATTTAATTTTGAAGGATTTTTTTTTGTGAAAATGAACGTTTATTTCGAAACAAAGTGATAAGTACATATTATTCGATGTTATTGTTCATCGTTAGCTGCAACTTTTTCCCATCTTTCTAGTAAAAGGCGGATTCCTCGACTCGTCTTTCGTTCGTGGTTATCCATGAATCGAGCCATTTCTTTATATCTTCTAAAGAACTGAAGTGCTGGGCGGAAAAGTGATTCTGCATGGATCGAAACAAGTGGAAATCAGAAGGAGCAATGTCTGGTGAATACGGCGGCTGGGGTGGAACATTCCATCCGAGCAGCTCTAGAGTTTCCCTCACCGGTTTAGCGACACGTGACCGAGCGTTGTCATGCTGGAAAATCACTTTGTCTTTTGGCGTATTCTGGTCGTTTTTCTTTCAATTCTCGGTTCAGCTGCACTAGTTGTTGTCGATAACGGTCCCCGGTAATGGTTTCGCCAGGTTTTAGCAGCTCATAATAGACCACCCACACCCTTCTAATCCCATCAAATACAGAGCATTATCTACGAACGATGGATAAGTGGAAAATCTCCACTTTTAGATCGTTTAAACCAGTTGAGATCGATGGGAGCATAATCCCCATAAGCTTCGGACAGCGAACGAAGACTTTCAGCTGCCGATTCTTTTCAAATGGAAACAAAAAAGTAACGCTTCGCGCAAATTGCGTTTCATTGGCACGAAACTCGACATATTGAATGCGCTAAAAAATATGTTATTTACACTTGGACCAATTGAAATATACTGATTCTTAAAGCCTAATGACGGAGCTTTCGTATGAAGGTTGGCTTCAGCATCAGGGTCGATGCCATTAGGTGCTCATTGCGTCATCTCTTGCGAAATTCTTTACTTTAAAATTAAGTTTAATACCCAATATTTGCAGCAAGTGCAGCCTCTCGGCCGTATGCGACTGCAACAATGCATGTCACGTGACGCAAAAATGTCATGCCGGCGCGGCGGCGCGGCCACTATTGAAGCGCTCTTGCGGCTTCGCCGCGCCGACTCTTTTCGATGCGAGGATAATATTTCCCCGGAGGGAAATGTTAGGCAGCTTTTTCTAACCAATTCTCCGTCGGGACGAACGTGCGCGGCCGCCGGCGTCGGCGTTGTTTCGAGCGTTGCCGCCGAGCCGACGCGAAATCGATCGAATTGTCTCACGTTTTCATTGTCGGATCGTTTTACGCGACGTTTGGCGTGCTGTGCGCACGGAAAACCGATATCGCGTATCGCGTTTGCGCTTTTCGAAATTACTAAACAGAGAGTCAGATTGCTCGGCGAGAGAAACCCCTGAAAAGGAACAACGCCCGACAACGGATACATCACGAAATGTATTCGCGGTAAGAAAGTCGCGGGGAAAAAGTGCCGGCTTGCTACGACCAAGTTTATTTTCTATTTACTTATTTATTAATAATATACGGAAGTTGACGGGTATTTGAGGAAGGCGTCCTTGTCTGTGTTGCAGATGCATGTGCTCGAGCGGATACACCGGACAAAATTGCGAGAACGAGTACTTCCCCTGCGACCCGTCGCCATGTGAGAACGGAGGCTCGTGTCATCAGCTCAGCGAACACAACTACGAGTGCATCTGTCCTGAGGGTGAGTCGAAAGAAATTTCCCCACTTTTCTCGTATACTCGAAATTCGCGCCGTAAAATCGCGCCGAGCGACGGCGTGGTGTGCGTGGCGGCAGCCAAAGCCGCGAAAGATGAAACTTTTCGTATCTCGATGCGTATCATCTCTCCTCTCGCTTCGCTCGCTGTTCTCTCTCTATCTCGACCTCGCGACGCGCGACGGTCCGTTCGCCGCGATTGTCCCGCGCGAGTCGTCGAGGTCAACGAAAATAATAACCGAGTCCACACGCACCTCCCAGACGGTCTCGAGGATTGTCGCTCCGCTTATCAACTTCACGCGCGTCTCAAGGTACGCAATTCAGCCGACATCCAATTTCTCCTCCCCTCCTACCCTCTCGCCCGTCTCTCGTTTCCGGAGCGCGCGATACAAATGACCCCCGTCCTCTCTCCCGTCGTCGTCGTCGTCGTCGTCTTCGTCCTCGTCGTCGTCGTCGTCGTCGTCGTCGTCGTCGTCCTCCTCCTCCTCCTCCTCCTTCGTCATTCGGAGCCCCGAAATCCCGCGATGAGAACGTGACTCGAGTCGTGAGGACTTTTCTCACGGGCGCGACTCATCCTCGCTCGGCCCGCTCGCGGCGAAGAAAGTCGCTCGCGCGACAAAAGTTCTCGGCCGGACAAAAGTCGCCGGCCGGCTTAATTGCGAGGTAACCGCCGATAACGATTGCCCCGTGGGGATTGCCGGCTTCGGGAGCGGTCGTTTTCGGGGATCGCCGCGCGCGTTCCACTCTGTTTATCGCCGCGAGAAAGAGTCTCCCGCGAGCCCGTTGCGCAACCTTGCCCCGGCGACGTTTGTCTTTCAAGGAGCGAGCTGTAGAAGGAGAAAGAGACAGAGAGAAAAGGAGAGAAAGACAGAAAGAGGAAGAAAGGGCGAGAGCAGCGTGGACAAAAGAGGGCCGAGAGAGGAAGACAAAAGACCTGCGCTCTCGCAGGGCAATGATTACGCGGTGCAGCAGGTACAACTCGGCCGCCAGGGGTGGCGAAGCGGCGGCCATTTACGTGCGTGTGTACACGGTGGATGGTTAATGTAAAGCCTAGGGTCAGCCTAGCGTGGCCTCCTCGCTGCCCGGATCACAATGCGTGGTCCTCTTTTTCCCAGGCGGACCACGACCATGGCGACCCCACCTTCCTCGTCTGCTCCTTCGCCCCTTCGTCCTCTCCACTCGCTCCACCTCCTCCGCCTCCTCGTCCTCTCCTCGTTCGTCCACCTTGCTCGGTATAACGCGCGCGCGCGCGCAGGTCCCTTCCCGTTGAAGAAACGCGCTCGAGTCGTACCTTGTCGCAGGTGGCTCTTCGTCACCGATCGTTACGCGCTTCCTCCCGTGCTATTTCGCGTGGCGCGTCGACGCTGCGCGCTCCACGCGTGTGACTTTAACCGAAGCGGAGCGGCTTTCTCGGCGATTTTTCGAGAATCCTGTCGAGGAGGTCTTGTTCCCGCGGTCGATGGTGCCTTCTTCGTCGGACGTATTAATTGCGTGTGTTTTTTTCGCAAGTTGCATGCTTGTTTCTTTCGATCGGGGATTATGCGGGTCGGCAAATGGCTCGAGCGGATGAATTCCATCGCGTCCGGGCGCTTTCGCGAATCAATAAGAGGGGCGAATCGCTTCATTTCGGTGACACTCGCATTAAAGTCCCCCAGCGACCACGTTCGCTCGGTCTTAATCGAGAACCGTCCTGGGTTTGCCGCGCGGCTGTAAATTCTCGGCGCCCGCCGGCAGGGGCAGCGCGAGGTGAGGAACGGGGGTCAAGGCGGCACGGGGCGAGAGAGGAGGAAAGAGGGAAGAAGGGGCAGCAAGAAATTGGATGTTGCGAGCATATTTTGTGTAACTTCGCTCACGCATATCGCCGCGCGCGCACCGGCCGTGTACTTTACGACATTACATTAGTACAAAGTGCCGCGTTGCCTTCTACTTGTCCCGAGCAAGCATCCGTTTAAGTAGCCCTCGGCCGCGGCCATAAGCCGAGAAACCGGCGTATAACTGCACGCACCGAGGCTTTTATTTCGATCTTTTCTCTTCTCCTGCTCCCTCCCCTCCCCCCCCCCCTCTCTGTTTCTCTCTCTCGACTCGACTCGACTCTCTTTCTCGACGGCTAGCCGTCATTTCGTCTTTGCGAACGAGGTTGGAGCGGTTCGCCCGCCGCCCGTCATTATCGCCTTCTCCGCTCGGGGCGACTCCTTCCGCGAGGCACGCTCCTGTAAAACGCGCACTCTCTCCCCCCTCCCTCTCTCTCTCTCTCTCTCGCGCAGGCTCTTCTTCCTCCGCGCTTCCTGCCGCGTGACATTCCAATAAGTCGCGGGAATCGAAACTCGAAGAAGGCGTGTCCCGGTCATCGTTGCCGGGCGCGATCGTTAGCGGCGGGAAAGTCAATCCGGACGAGCTCGTCGTTCCCGAGTTGTCGAAGGAAGGAGTCCTCTCCAAGGATTCTCGTGAAGACGAGGCCATAACTATTCCGGATCCTGCGCGCCGCGAGCGAGAGAAATCGCGCGCGCGACTTCTCCTCCTCGCGCTCGAGCTCCGCCGCTTTCCGTTTCTTTCTCTTTTTCCTCTCCTCCACCTCCGAGCTTTCGCTCGACCCGATATTACGGTCGTAAACATTTTATTTTGCTCGTTCGCGCCGCGCTCGACTCGCGCGTTCCCCGTCGCATATCGATCCTGCTTGTCGCAGCTGCGGCCGTTCGATCTCGCGTGCACCGCGAATGCTCCGCGAATATTCCTCGGAAGGATATATCGCAACTTGGGTAAAATACAGAAATACGTAATTAATGAGACGTGAGCGCGCAAAAGTACTCTTTTGTACGAGGCGAAATAATTACACTGGCGATATCGCGCGCGCGCCGGTGCCGCAAGCAGTGTAATCCATCCGTCTCTAAGATCGATACGGCTTGCCCTCGGCCGAGAAAAATAATTTTCAGAACGAACGCAACGAAGTCTTTAAAGCCGCAACTGCTATCTCCGTAATTTCGCCGTGATTGCTGGAGCCTCCATTTCCGCGGCAAAAAATGGAATTACTCGGATGCCGCGTAACTTCCGTATATCCGCGCCACGTAGACGCGCGACTCGGCCATCGACTCGGCTCTTTTTGCTCTCGCTCGCGTCTCTCGCACCTCGCCGGACGATATTATCACCGGGATAACGCGAAAACGCGAGGCTGGATTTCGAACGGCGCTTCGCGGTTCGCAGCCGTTCTCGCGCGTCGCGTTGCCTTCCCGTTCGAAATGATTTGCCCGGCTAGTTAGCTGTAAATGGTTCAATTTGCAACACCACGCTTACGCTCGCGCCTCCCGTCGTATTTTCCCGCCCCTTCGGCGTTCCTCCTCCCTCGTCGATTTTCTTCCTCGTAGGTTGCTCGCTTCGGTTCTAGTTGCGCGTTTTTGCCGGACGTCCATTCGTTCGTTCGTTCGTTCGTTGCTTCGCGCCATGAGGAGAAGAACCTTTCGCGCGAGCCCGAGAGGAGAGAGAGCGAGAGAGTGTGAGCTTGTAACTATCCTGCGCAGGACTCTCGACGCGCGAGCGCGAACCGATTCGGTAGAGGTAGTGTTGTAATGGTTCAATTTGCGGCATCTCTCCTAACTCTCATCCTCGGCCTGCTGTGCCTGCTCTTCGTGGCGAGCACGAGTCGCCTTTCATGCCGCCCTTTTCTCGTCCTTCACTCTGTTTCTCTCTCTCTCTCTCTCTTTCTTGCTCGCTCTCGATCCCTTCCTCTGTCCTGTACCTTTCTACATTCCTGCGCGACCGAGCAGCGTCTTCTTTCGAAGGAGATCATCCTCCTGCTTAGCGCAGGATTTCCCTTGTCGAGCGATCCGATCACGCCTCCTCCATTTCACATACATACATACACACACATATACACATAATCCGCTAATTAGAAACTGCTCTATCGAGCACCGGTTAAACGATTAATCGCGCGCCCGTGGATTAATCGGCTGAGGAAAGACGGAATGGACGCGACGCAGGAGAGAGAGAGAGAGAGAGAGAGAGAGAGAGAGAGAGAGAGAGAGAGAGAGAGAGAGAGAGAGAGAGAGAGAGAGAAGAGGAGGAGGAAAAGAAGAAAGTGAGGAAGAGAAAGAGATGCTTCGTAACACTCGTTTCCTCGAACGAGCTCGGTTTCTTTCGGATCTTTCTCTCGTTCCGATTTGATCGCTACATACACACACACACACGCGCGCGCGTCGCGTACCGCGCGAGTGTGCGGAGTGATCGAGTCGGAATGAGAGAAAGAGTAGGCAGAAGTCTTGCCGATCGATCGACCGCGACGATTGTGCCGGGCCGACGGAGTTCTTGCGGAGGAATTAAATCGTCGGTTTTACCGCGGCGCGCCGCGACGACCGGCAAGAAACTCGAATTTATTGTCCAAGTTGTACTTTGTCGGCGACGCCGAGGAGGATTGAATAGTCTCGCGAGACGGTGCACGCTCTCCATGTCGATTCTCTCACGCCGATTAATTTGTTGATCGATTTCTTGCCGCGACGCCATGCTTGTTTTCGAAAGGCGTTATTTTTCGCGCGCGCGCTTCATGTATTTATATTCCCGTTCGAATCAAACCGTGTCTGAAAGAGACGCGTGGAGATCTTTAAATTACCGATCACCAGACACCGAATTCGGATTCAAGGCAATTTCTCGCGGACCTCTCGAAATTCCAATCAATCCGAGATAATCGGCCGCTCGAAGAGCTCATACGTCATTTTTGTCATCTCGATCGACTTACATGGCGGCATTCTCCGCCGAATGTTTCATCAGCGCGTAAGAACGCTGTTACGGCGATGCAACACGTTCCTCGATATCCTCCATTGCTCTCGGCGCACCTTGCAGCATAAATACGAACGGTGAAAGAATGTTGTAACATCCTCGGGTTAACGACTTCGACACCGAAAGTCTATACTCGAGCTGTCGGACCGGCGGGACGTGAAAAATGTCCTTTCCGTATACGAGCTTCCCCGCCGATTAAACGCTAACATTCCCGTTTTATTTCC